TTTGTTAATGTTGACATATAAAGAGTAGGTAAAAACTTGAACAGGAAGGCTCAGTCGTGTACTTGATGGTCAGATTTCCGGCAGACCGCGAAGGCAACAGCGGCGTAGACGTGGCTGTGGCGCAAGCTGCTGCGTTCAAGTGACGCAGTGTTCCGTCTGCATTGCAGCCCGAGCGGCTGCCGGAACATAACAATGGCGACTCACAGACCGAACAGCAACTCCATAAGCTCCAGCAGCATCGTCGGAGCCACGTCGCATCAGCTGCACCAACAGACACAAAGCAGCAGCATGCAAGGTAAGGAACAAAACCTGCCGTTTCACTCGGTTCACACAAACGGAGGCGCTGTTAGTCGGAAAAGAGCTGTGGTTTCTCAAGAAGGGGAAAAAAACACCACGGTCAAAAGAGACGCATTAATCAGATTATGTCCGGTTAGGACCTACAAAATAAAACTAACCTTGATAAATTCCGTTGAAGTGGCTGTAAAATAAGACCAAGTAGTTGTTTATACATACGTAAGATTAAAAATACAAGTTTTCAGTTGTTTAATATACATGTATCGACTCATCGCAATTATTTTTACGTTGTACTGGTGGATTATTTTGGTCGTCAATTTTTCAATTATTTATTTTGAAGGGCCATTTGCGCAGTTTCCGTTTGTGCTTCAGTTTTTTTTCGGTTTAGCTTCAAACACTACAGAGCTAATGCTTTAGCCATGTTGCCGAAGGTGTAGCTAAATAGCTGAATCGAAAGGCCTGTAGTAGAAGAGTTAAATGTTTGTTTGTTTTTGAGCCGGACACTTTTTAGCAGCCTTCAAAGTGTCACATTATAATAAAACATCGAACCTATTTTGTACCGTGTGTTCCATTGTTATTAGCACACGGCTGCTAACAGAAGCACCAAGAGGCCTTCCCTGGAAATACCTTCCTGCCAGGCCACTCCTGCTTTTAGCTAAAGTCATACCTCTAATCCCACCACAGCTATAGTTAGGGCTTCAATTAATTCAAATGTTTTATACGGCTGCTATATAGATGGACAGAAGTCTTTATTGTTACTGTTCAAAGTTAAATTACACTTCAATCTTAAACTCACTGTGTTTTCAGCAGCTTATGTGATCGGCTAACCAATGTTTAATCCGTTTAAATCTAGTTTCTGTGTGATATTTAGTGCTTTTTTTGTTGCTGCTAACAGTTTTCCACTTCTTAAAACAAGCATGTGAAGGTTAAACAGATCTGAGTTGTTTCCTGTCATTGTGTTCGATGTCTAGTGTCAAATGTTTTATCTAAACCTTGCAGAGACCAACACCTGCTGGAGATGTCAAAATGAAACAGGTATTCATTCTATTTTACACGGTTTTATCTTTGAGGATCTTTAATGTGTCATCCATTCCCTTCACTGATTGTTTCATTTTGTTTGACCCGTGTTTCTGCATGCTGGTGTATCGTTTTCTCAGTTCGACATGAGACGAGCCTGGCAGTAAGAGCCAGCGCAGAAACCTGTTGTACACACACTTGTGCAGTTTTTAGCAGCTGGTCGCTGACGGGAAGCGTGCAGCTGTTTATCACCTCATACCAAACATGCACGTTCACGTTCCTCTTGACGTATCAAAACAAGTCATCTCGGCGCACTACACAGTACGAAAACACCCGAGTCCAAATCGTAAATGAACCTTAAACAGATCAAGGTAAATATTCAGTTGTGACTTACTAATTAGTCAAAGTATTTAAGGAAACCAGCAGATTGTGTCGAGTCTTCGTCTGAGCGCTACATCCGCAGCAGCACATCGGCGACGGTGTAAAGGAACAACTCCCTTTTTAAAAGGAAGAAACCTCCAGCTGAGAATGTATGACCATATGTCCTGACCAGCTGGACTTTGAGAGGACAGGAAGGAGCCACAGACAGACTGAAGGACTGGTCCAGGTCTAGTTCTAACGAGGACGAACCCAAACAAAACTACAGCTTTATAACCGCAACATTCACATGTACTAACATGGATATTAGAGCGAGTAAAGACAGCAGCAGGGTGAGGAAATGTGGTCAGTTTGTCCTCCAGCAGTCGAAGCCTTTAGCATCACAACTATGGGATAACTCAGGAAACCCAATCCAAACCTAACTATAGGATTGCTCTAAAAGGAAAGTCTAAGGTCTAGTGTTAAAGACGGAGTGTCCGTCTCATGGACAGAAATCAGAAGTTTGTTCCAGAAAAGGTGAGCCTGAGAATTGGAAGCTCGGCCTCCCAACTTCCTTTGAGGAACTCCACAGCGTTCCCAGCGACTTTGGAAATCAGGGAAAACCTGGAAAATTACTGTTACATTTTCCAGACAGGGAAAACTCTGGGGATTTGATCTGCTGATTAAAGGATGATCTTTCAAAGATTTTACCATGTACATGTATAAATATTAGTATCATTGAGTTCATGTTCTGCTTTTACAGTGTACACAGTACATGTGTCCTTACTGATTGGCTGTGGTGGCTTTTTACTTGTACAGTAATTAATAATAGGAAGGATTGCCGTATGCGCGTATCGTAGCTGTGTAATACTTCTGTAGTTCTGAGTGTTTTGTGTGGCTGAAAAAACAGAAAAAAATCTTTATTTACGCTGGGACAAAACAGGGAAGACTCAGGCAATTTTCTTTTCATGAAATGCTGGAAACCATTCTCTAGGAACCACAAGTAAACCTGCAATATGAAGCAACAAAGATGGAGCTTGCTTGCGAGCTTTTGATGTTGGATGCAAGATTTAAAATTTGATTCCTCGTTTAAAAACCTTTATTCTGAGCTTCATAATGCATTGTAGGAATTATGTACGCTTCACCTTTTACACCAACACTACAGGAGGATGCTATGGGTGCTCAGTCACACGACATGCCCGATTACACCGATCCCACCGTGTATCTGCTACGAGAGATGGATACAGACTCTGTTACGACACCACGCAAGTGTGGCTCCAGTTAGTTTTATATTTAGTGTGTATTTAAAGTCAACAAGGTGTGGACAGAAATGTTGGACACAAATGTCCTGTCCTCAGTTTGTACAGGAAAATGGTTTATCTCCATTTTCTTCCTGAGCGCTCCACAGAGAGGGAAGGTGCTGCTGTTGGAGCTCCCTCTGCTGGATGTCAACCAAACTGCAGATAGTCTGAGTCACTTCAGCTGTTTGTCCCAAATGTCACCACCGAGAGCTTCATGAAACCACCAGGACAGTTTGTTCAGGTTCATCCACAGCGGCCTTCAGAGCTGGAGCTCAAATTAAATCAGCTTTATTTATAAAGAACATGTGAAACATTCAGGACTGACTGAAACAATAAACCCCCAAACATTTGAAACATACGAACATCAACATCAATTTGGGAACAAAAGGATCAGTAAAAATGTATAACACAATAAAAACAATAAATGACATTAATGAAAAATTATTAAAAAGCTCGAATGGTTGTTTCCAGTTAGGATGTTGGGGATAAACTATGGGATACCAGGAGCATGTAAAGATTTTCCTTTTCATCAATGTTCTCCTGTTTAAAGGTTTGACCGTCAGATAATGTTTAAAATTAACATTTAAGCTGCGCAGCATTTACACTGGCGCACTCTGTTGTTTACCCAGAATGCATTGCATCGTAAGTACAATGGCAGCATCTGCGTTTCATTAGTTTAAAACAAACTAGAGAAATTGCATTTCCTGCTTATTGCTGAAGAATTTGCTGAAAAACAGCTGAAATTAGCTAAAAACTTGCTGAAATGGAAGAATAAGCCAGAAGAAAGCTGAAAGAACACATTTGCTGAATTAGGTTTAAATGAGCACAAAAATTTGGAAATTAGCCACACAAAAAAAATCTGAAAAGTAGCTGAAAGGGAAGAAAGAAGCTTAAATAACTATAAGGAAGAGGAGAGAGCACAATTGTGCCCAATTAGGCGAAAAGTCAAGTCAAATTTATAAAGCATATTTAAAATGGCAGCTGTTACCAAAAAGTGGAAATTATCTGAAAAAAAGAAATTTGCAACAAAAAACAAGCTGAATAAAAAAGCAGAAAGAAGCTAAAGTTACCAGAAGGAAGTGGCGAGAGCACATTTTTGCTGATTTAGGCTGAAAAAAATTTAATTGAGAGCAGCAAATGTGGAATTAGCTGAAAAAGCTAAAATTAGCATAAAAATTACTAAATAGTAACTGAAATAGCAGAAAAGGCTGAAACTTGCAGAAATTAGCTGAAAAGAGCATAAGAAGCTGAAAAAACCCCAGCTGAAAGTAGCTGAAAAAAGTTTAAATTTGCAGAAGGAAGCTGAAAGAAGCTGAAGCAGAACAAAAAGTGAAAGGAGCAGTAAAAGGTTGTAAACAGAGCTAAAGATCTGAAGGATGTAAAATGAGCTCAGTTCGTTTTCTATGAGGAAAAAAAAATGCCAGAAAAGGCTAAATAACTCAAAAAGCTAAAGTTGCACCAACATCAAAAGTTACAGCAAGATTGTCCTGAAAGAGCTGAACGTTTTGATTTATTACTTGTTGAAATAGCAGAAAAACTGCTGGACGAGAAAAAGATGCCGAAAAACCTACGGAATAGTTTACGGTAACTAGAATACGGAATAATAACAAATATAAACAGGATCACAATAGTGTGAATGCATCATAAATATTCCCATTATTACAACAAATAAACAGTGTACAGTATATTTTATATACTTGTATATATGTACTCTTCTTTTGTATAGCTCGAGTAAATCAGGTTAAGTGTTTGAACTAGGGGAGATCTGTTTTAACAAACAGGAAGTTAACAGTATCACACTGTCATGGTTGGTAGTTAAGTTAACATTCTTCACAACACTGGCAGGGCACCGTCGACCTGTCAGTCCCTCCACCTCTGACCTCTGACCTTTGCTGTGATGTCAACACATGAACAAAGAGCCGCTCACTCTCTGAACAGGCTCTGAGAACGCGCAGTAAAATGTTTCCTTCTTGACTTCAGGGTTTCAGATAAGCCTGTCTGGAGTGACCCAAAGTAAGAATCAGACTTGTGTACCAAGCACGCTGACCTCTGCTCTCTGTGGGGACGTGTCAGTAGTCTAACGTGGTGTCCTGTCCCCGTCGATGTCCAGTTCATGGTGGACTGATAACATCGTTTGATCATTCGAGCGGGTCAACGGGGACCACGGTAAACTACTGATGAAGCCTGTGTGGTGTTCTGGTAGACGGGGCATCTGTCCACTGTTCACTGCTTTAACTGTCACTCATGTCACGAGGGGTTAAAGGTCAGGGGGGGGTGTTTGCATTGAGGTTTTGGACCGGGCATGGCAGAGACCTCAACACTCAACGGCAGCACCTTCAGTCATACATGACCCCTCTGCTGCCCTCGGGTCAACATTATCCCACCACCCTCAGCTTTAAATCTGACACTAGTGATCATTTTGACCCCAGGGCAGCAGGAAGGTTGAACCCAAACTGTATTCTGGATCAGACTGAGGTGACCTGAACTTTCCAACACCTGCCAGGATGTCTTGATGTGAGTCAGGTGCTGTCTGAGTGCTGGTGTCTCAACAGTACTGTGGTAGTTGACTTGGTTCTGATTAGGGATTCCACTGTTTCCTAATCAATCCCACACATAATGCATGTCTTTTATTTTGAAAGTGTAAGCTGTGTGGGAACCTCTGGACACACTGCTGGTGTTTGTGCTTCCTCTGGTCTTGATACTAGATAAGCCCAAATGTTTGTTAGCATAATTTCATTAAAACCACACCCCTGTTTGAGGGTAATTAGAGGTTTGGGTAGAAATGTAACATTTCTTCTTACTGCACACATGAAGGCTTATCTCCAGATGTTTCTGAGGAGCACTTTGTGTTCAGGCGGTCTGCACCAGCTGAGTCAATCCACAGTGTGGCGTGCACGTTGTGGCAACGTGGACCTGTGTTTTTCTTTTCCTCTCAGGTAAACGTAAAGCTCTGAAGCTGAACTTCGCCAACCCTCCCGTGAAACCCACCTCCAGGCTTCCGCTTCATCCCACGGCGCCGTCTTTCCAGAACCCTCACATGTGAGTGATGTCGATCTGGTGCTTTAGACCACGGGTGTCCAAAGTAAGGCCCGTGGGCCATTTGTGGCCCTTGGAGTGATTTTGTGTGGCCCACAACTTCAGTTTAAGAATGGTTTCATTTTGGCCAGCAAGTTTCAGAGGTTGATGCAGACTTTCTGTAAATTAGTTGGTAATCCTTTTTTATATAATGCTTAGGTTTGACAGCAAAACAGATGAAAAACAATCCTCTCAAAATGAGCAATGTTAAGCAAAATATAAACCTTTGGCTATAATCTTTTTATTTTCACTTCATGGTACAAAGCACCAAAAACTTTTACTGATTTCTACCAGAAAGGAGACTTTTGGATAATGATTCATAAAACTTGGCTAAATATTTCAGTTGATAAAATAATCAAGAGGGAATTTGGACATTTTTAATGAATATAACGTGGTATCATCTACATACGAGTTGATCAACTTTATCAAACCTTCCATGAATCTGTTGTAGCGACTGACAGCTGGGCCATTTTTCAGAACTTCTATCAGCCTTTTGGGTTGTTTATGGTCCAAAAGTCTTATCGACCTCCTTTTAAAAGGACACACCGTATTTTTCTGACTAAGTCGCATTATGCGAAACAAAACAGATAAGTCAAACTTTATTCAACTTATTCCCAATAACCACATAAAATCAGTTTGAGGTCAGTAAGCACAACCAAAATTAATACATAAGGATACTCTTGATTTTTGAGAAAATTAAAGAATTTTAATTGCGCCTTATAGTCCAAAAAATACAGTACTTATATTACACCTTTGTTGCTGAGAACAGACTAAAATGAATTTTCCAAAAACAAGAAAACAACAAACATGGACCCAACAAATCAAATAAATCAAATCCTTTTAATAAAAAATATAAACTTTAGTGTTTATGAGGCTTTTTATGTTTTTGATCTACAACAATTTAAAACTTACTCCACCAAAATTAATCAACTTTTGTCCTTTCTCCAAAATATTGTTCACGTTGAGAGTTCAATTCACATTTTTGTGGCCTACAAGTCCTTTCATCTGGATAGTTTTGACACATGAAAGCGTTTGGACACCCGTGGTTTAGATGGAGTTTACAGATGCTTCTGGTTCCAGTTATTTCTGGAGCGTCGTCCTTGTTTTTGTGCTGTGGGATCGATGTTTACCCAGTCTGTTCTGGTTCTACAGAGAGCGCCTGCGGACGCACAGCATCGAGTCATCGGGGAAGCTGAAGATCTCGCCGGAGCAGCATTGCGACTTCACCGCAGAGGATCTGAGAGACCTCGGCGAGATCGGTCGTGGAGCTTACGGCGCCGTCAACAAGATGGTCCATAAACCAACAGGCCAGATTATGGCTGTGAAGGTGACGAGCTCCATACATTTACAAAACCCTGATTTATCTGAGCAACGTTGTTGATGTGTGCAGAACTTCAGTGCCTAATTTCAAACACTGTTTCCTTCCCATTTTCATTTTATTTTTATGAATTATTGTAGATTACACTGAAAGCTAGATTAGATCTAGTCTGATGATGTAAAACCAGGTCCACACGTCTGTTCTGGTTCCTGGTGGATCTGTCGGTAAAGTATTAAAGTAGCCACGTACTTTAAAAACCACAGATTGAAACCACAAAATTATTCTTTTCATTCAGTCCCTGCTGTTTAAATAAATTGTAGACGGATGTCATAGTGGGAGGTGGGCGTCCTCCAGTTGTAGAGTAACCAAGATGGAAAAGCTGAGATTACAAAACTTATTGTTGAATCAGTTTGCTGCTCTGAATGCCAAGGTGGAAAGACATCAGCAGTGAGCGTAGAAAAGCCACCGATGCTGCTTATCAATCTGGAGAGGGTTAAATGTCATTTCCACTCAGCCTAAGGTCGACCATTCCACAGGAAAAAATATTCACAAGGAGAAAACATTTAAGAGTGGCTGTCTCAGCAAATTCACCCCAAAGTCAGACTGTGCAGGGCTCACAGAAATGATAAAACCCAAGCGCCCCATTTCAGACTCTACAGTTTGTAGGTTAAAGGTCATGATGGGGCAGTAAGAACAACCTGAAATATGGCGTGTTGAAAGGGTTGCAGGAGAAAATGAAGTTTCTTTAGAAAGAACATGGCAGCACGAGTTTCGTTTAAACGAACCGCAAGACTTCTGGAACAATGTCCTTTGGACAGATGAGACCAAAGTAAAGACGTTCACCTATAATGCATCGCTCCATGTCGAAGCTCCAAAATTCACGGTTGAAACACGTGCCTTTGTGTAAAAAGTTGTTTTTCTTTGCAAAAAGAAGCTGAGAACTTGTTTACTGTTTTTTTTTTTAATTAAAAGCTTTGTGTGACAAATGCTATGCTAAAAGGTTCAAACCACACCGAGCGTCCGCCATTTTGAGACCCAAAGAGACGGCCCATGTCACGTCAAGGGGCCTCCCTCCCATTTTTCTTAGAGACACGCTGCTCGCTCCCTCACTATCCATCCTTCAGTTCAAACAGTCTTATGCTGCCATCCAGTGGCCGAAGAAAGGTACTACATGCAAAACAAATTAACAAACGTCTTCTTAAATTTGACATTAATTACTAATTATTGTCAAATTTCAAAAAATATTATTGTTTATCGCAATAATTTTTTAGACAATTTATCGCCCAGCAAAATATGTTATCGTGACAGGCCCAGTGGTGGGACCTTCAGGAAGCTGAGCAGAAACAAACTGAAGCAACATGGAAAGAAGAGTGGGCCACATAATCCTCCACAATCACACTGGAGACTGATAAAGTCCAGGAGAAAACAATGACTGAGTTGTTGCTGCTGAAGAAGCGGCTCACAGTCTGGTAGCTGTTTGGTGTGTTTGCTGACACTAAATAAAAGTTTATTTAAGATTGATCTTCAGAGGATCAGCAGTCGACACAGACATGAATTCAGTGTCATGAGCTCATGAAATGTACGATTTTAAACACGACTGGCATTTTGGCTCTTTAAGAGTATCTGTGCATCAAATATAAATAATAAAATATTAACATTACAGCTATAGTATCATTACAGCATTATGTAGTATTTTTTTCCAACAGCTTCAGTTAAAGTAGTTGCATTAGTATCAATAAATACAAGCAAATGGATCATATACACTGTTATAAAATATCTTGATTTTGAAAATGAAAGGATGCTGGTTTTATTAAAGATTTAATTTTGCATGATGTATTCTTCGTATTGGACTAATAGTTTGTAACCAACAGAAGAAAACCTGACTCAGTGTTCATGAGAAACGTTTTCTGTTGTCCTCAGAGGATTCGCTCCACCGTGGATGAGAAGGAGCAGAAGCAGCTGCTCATGGATCTGGACGTGGTGATGAGGAGCAGTGACTGTCCTTACATCGTCCAGTTCTACGGCGCCCTCTTCAGAGAGGTGCTTTCACAGAGAATCAGCAAATTGTTCCATTTTCTTTGTTTTCCACTGCAGGGCCAAGAAGAAGGATTAACTATGTCCTCCATTTGTTTGTGTTGGGAGCATAAGAATTGAAAAATAAGACTTCCATTCTCATCAAAAATCCAACTACCGCCACACAGTGGTGCTTGAAGTTTGTGAACTCTTTATAATTTTCTATATTTCTGCATCAATATGACCTAAAACATCAGATTTTCACACAAGTCCTAAAAGTAGATAAAGAGAACCCAGTTAAACAAATGAGACAAAAATATTATACTTGATTTATTTATTGAGGAAAATGATCCAATATTACATATTTGTGATGGTAAAAGTATGTGAATCTCTAGGATTACAGTTAATCTGAAGGTGAACAGCAGCATGGATTGTTTATTTAAAATGAATCATTTAAAAAAATTTTAACGCTGCACCTGTGTGCAGCCTACAGGTGCAGGGAGAAGCTCCCTCCTGCAGCCTGTCATGATCACCCCTCTCTGCCACGCACACATTTCAGAATCAGAATGCCTTTATTGTCATTATACGCAGTACAATGAAATTAAGAGCCACTCCTTTTTCCAGTGCAAAAACACGCCTTAAGAAAACACACAACATTAAACACACACTAAAAATATAAAAAATGTAACGCAATATAGATATAATAATGAAAGTAAAAAGTACAAGTATTTCACAATTATATTGCACATTATGGATATTAGTGAGGTAGTTAAGGTGACTGAGAGTATGAAATGAAGTCCAGGTGTTTGGGAGGTTAGATGATTAAATCAGTGCATGTGTGAGTTCAGTGTGGTGATGGCTTTCGGGAAGAAACTGTTCTTGAATCTGTTTGTTCGTGTTCTGATGCACCTGTAGCGCTTCCCTGAAGTAGCAAGTCAAACAGTTAAACACCCGGGTGTGAACCTTGATTATGTTTTCTGCTCTGTTGAGGCAGCGTGATGTGTAATTGTCCATCAGGGAGGGGAGAGGGCAGCCAATTATATTTTGTGCTGTCTTGACTACTCTCTGAAGCCTCTCCCTGTCAGCCAGGGTGCAGCTGCCGTACCGTACTGAGATACAGTATGTCAGCAGGCTCTCGATGGACGAGCGGTAGAAGGTCAGCAGCAGTTTTGTGTTCAGGTTGTGCTTCTTAAGTACTCTTAAGAAGTGTAGTCTTGTGTAGAAGTGTAGAAGCAGTTTAGCTCCTCTGTTAGTGAAGCACTCAGGTCTCCTGTTGTCACCTCACAGCCTCTATAGTTGGTGATGTTTTTTATGCCCTTCCACACCTCCCGTGAGTTGTTACTGGGCAGATGGGACTCCATATTCCTTTTATGGTCAGCCTTTGCGGTTTTTATTCCCTTATTCAGGTTGGCTCGAGCAGCTCGGTACAGAGCTCTGTCACCTGACCTGAAGGCAGCATCGCGGGCTCTGAGGAGTGTGTGGACCTGGCTGGTCATCCAGGATTTCTGGTTGGGGTAAACCCAAATGTTTTTGACCATAGTCACATTTCCGATGCAGAACTTGATGTAGTCCAGTACTGTTCCTGTGTATGTTTCCATCTCTTGGTGTTCAACTAAGTCCCAGTTAGTTTGTTCAAAACAGTCCTGTAGGTCATCGAGTGCATTACCAGGCCAGGTTGTAACAGTTTTTGTTGTAGGCCTCGCTCGGCGTCTGAGGGGGGTGTAAGCTGGGGGGAGCAGGAGGGAAAGATGGTCTGACTGCCCGAGTTGGGGAGGGGTATGGCTCTGTATGCATATTTAATGTTTGAGTAAACATGATCCAGAGTGTTCTCCCCTCTAGTAGAACACTTAACATGCTGGTAGAATTTTGGGAGTACAGTCTTCAGATTAGCCCTATTGAAATCTCCTGCAATTATATGAACACCGTCGGGGTGAGCCCGCTGCTGTTCATTGATGGTGTTCAGCAGGAGAGAGAGCGCCATATTTACATTAGCGTCGGGTGGTATATACACAGCAGTAATTATCACAACCGTTAGCTCTCTCGGTAGAAAAAAAGGTCGGCATCTCACGGACATGTACTCAAGGTCTGGGGAACAGTGATTGTCTATAATTGTCCCGTTGTTACACCAGTTCTCGTGCACATAAATACAGAGCCCCCCACCTCTGCTCTTACCGGAGTCCGCAGTCCTGTCCCAGCGTAGCAGAGAGCGGCCTGCTAGCTGTGTGCTAGCATCGGGTATCCCAGGGTGAAGCCAGGTTTCGGTGATAATCAGAACACAGCAGTCACAAACTTAGCGATTTCCAGCGAGTTGTAATTCCAATAATCCGTTTTATGCACTAGTGATCTGGCATTGGAGAGATAAAGGCTCGGTAGAGGTGGCTTGTGAGGTTGTGATCTTAGCCTTAGCATAACGCCAGACCTGCAGCCTCGCTTCTGCTTCCTCTCCCTTCTCCGTCTGCGCCGCCTCACAGGCCCGACAATCCATGGAGAGCCCGGTGATCTCGCTATGTCGTCTGGGATGTTGTGCGTGTAATGAAAGTCACTCGAAACAGGTATTTGGTGCTGCTCACCAATGTCCAAAAGGGTCTGACGTCTGTAGTTGATGTTTGCAAACTCGTCAATGCAAACACAAGAAAAAAGGACGTACAAAAATAACATTAAAAAGCACTGAAAGGGAGAGCTGTGAGTCACTGCAACCATGCGCGCCGCCATCTTGGATCTGTCTAATGCCTAATGTCTAATTTCTGCTCCGTACTGCAGCAGTTTCATGAAGGTTTAACCCTTTGTTGTCCATCTACACTGATTGACTTTTGTCTTCCAACTTAAAATTCAAAGTGTCACAATGTAAAATCATCATAATCACAAAATACAAAAGTGTTAAAACATTATTTTTAATTATTTTAGAACTTCTATGTTCAGTTGTTTCAGTGTAATTGATCAAAACGTGCATTTCTGCTCTGTGCTGCAGAGCTGCATGACATCCCTTTCATGTCCTGCTGCTTTTCTCTTGTATTACTATCCTTACTTCGCAGTTTTTCCACTTATCGGGGGGGTGGGGGGGTGGGTGGGACTGAAATCTAACACCCGCAATAAATGAGGGACAACTGTATTGGATCATTTTCCTCAATAAATCAATGAATATAATGTTTTTGTCTCAGTTGTTTAACTGGGTTCTTTTTATCTACTTTTAGGACTTGTGTGGAATTCTGATGATGTTTTAGGTCAAACTGATGCAGAAATCTAGAAAATTAAAGTTAAACAATCAAGCACCACTGTAGATGTCTGTTTTTGAGGAAATTATGTTTTTATATTGGTCAAACAACATATTAATTTTATTTATTAACCTTTATTTAACAAGGCAAATCCCACTGAGATCACAGACATATAGTTTCCTTAAATGAGTGGAGTGGCTGACGATTAATCTATGGGGGCCAAGGCCACCATTAGCCACCCCCTGCTCAAAAGTACAAACATTCACTTTTGAAATCCCTCAGCGATGGGGCACAGCTGTGAACCACTTATTTTATTTATTTAATTTTAAAATGTTCTTTTTTTCTTCTTTTTCAGGGCGACTGTTGGATCTGCATGGAGCTCATGTCTACCTCATTAGACAAATTCTACAAATATGTATATTGTTCATTAGATGATGTCATTCCAGAGGAAATATTAGGAAAAATAACTCTAGCTGTAAGCACTTTTTCTTCCTGTTGTTTTTTTGTCCATGTTCGGGTGTGATGAGCGTCTCCAAAACGAACCTGAATCCTTTTCTTGTTGTTTCCAACAGACCGTTAAAGCACTGAACCACTTAAAAGAAAACTTGAAAATAATTCACAGAGGTAAGTTTGTGCTTCGTTTGCTTCTCAGTTTTCAGGTGGCCTTCCTCTGAGTGAATGTTGTTCTGCTTTGTCCGATTCAGACATCAAACCTTCCAACATTCTAATGGACCGACGGGGGAACATCAAACTGTGTGATTTTGGTATCAGCGGGCAGCTGGTCGATTCGATAGCCAAGACCCGAGATGCTGGCTGCAGGCCTTACATGGCTGTAAGTCATCAAGGAATGTGTGTGTGGGGGGGTGCTTGTTAGGAACATTTATTTTCAAATTCAACACCAGAGCTTTTAAATATTTTATTAATCTTCAAAATGACGCAAAGAGAAGAACGAATTCAGATATTACCGTACTTTCCGCCGTACACGTCGCACTGCCATTTAAGTCACATCAGTCCAAATATATCTAATAAATTGTGTGTGTCAGAGTCAGAGTTTCTTTATTGTCATTCGCACCTCATGTGGTACATGTGGTGGAGCGAAATTATGTACACGGGGTCCCAGTTACATCC